GAGATTAATCGTTTGTTATAATATGGTTTTTCGTCTAAAATTTAAATATTATTCCAATCGAAATCATGTTCCATCTGCAATCTATGTTCGATAATTACAGACCGGGCAGACGTATTCCATGTAATTACGGTATTCAGAAATCCTTGTTTTTAATTATCTGCCCGTCTATCCAACATATATAGTAATGCATCACAATCTTTACACATGATTTTATACACTGCATTATTTCTAGTATGTAGTTGAGAATCTTTTTGTACTTTAATGTACTTTATTCAATTTATTGGGACTGTAAAAAGAAACCTTGATATCATTTTTATTAAATTGTTTAAATTTCTCTGTAATGAATGGAATGTATGGGTATATACAGTGAGCCAGAATTTAGAATTTATTCTTTCTTTATTGTCTCGATTATTTTGTGAATTTAATCTCCTTCTTAGAATTATTAATTCTATTATTAATATTGTTAAAAATAAAAGAAAGAGGGTAATCATTGAATAAAAGTGTATTTACAATAAGAGTCAAATTTTTTGAATGGTATTCAGTGTCAGAAAGTAATAATGTTTTGTCAACTAGGTTAAAAATTATACTTCTTTTTTGTGAGACAGGGTGATTGGATAGATAATTCAAGAATCCGTCTGAAAAGGTAGGTTTATAATATCAATCGAAATAAAACTGTTCATTTTTTATCTCTATTTTTATATTTAGAAAATTTAATAAGTTACAACCAATTTCTAAAGTAAATTGGAGGTATAGATGGAAAGAATTAAAACATTCAAGGAAAGTATTTGTTTTTGAAGTTGGGACTGCAATGCAAATGTTATCAACATATCTATAGTAAAAAGAAACATTATCATTAAAAGACATCAAGGCCCTTTTTTCTAATTTTTGCTATATCAGCAATGATGGGTGACAACGGAGAGTGACACGGCTCATGAGAGTGCCATACGTTTGTTTATAAGTGATTGTTGAAGATAAAAAATGTGGAATCTAACACAAATCGAACAGCCGTCAAGAATTCTATTTTGGGTTATGTACTATTTTTTAAAATGAATCTCCAATTTTCATTGATGCAGTCCACAGCCAGCTCAGTTGGAATGCTAGTAAAAAGGGAAATTACATCCAACGAAATCAGTGTATGGCCTGCATCAATTTTAACTTTTTTAAGATTGTTTACTAACTCGAAACTGTTTTTTTATAAAGCTATCTGTTATAGGGATGAATGTATGTAAGATGTTGTGTAAATAAGAGGAAATAGAATATAATAGATTGCTTATAGATAAGACAATAATTCTGAAGGGACAGTTCTCTTTGTGTTCTCTTAGATAATGCATAGGCCATCGGCAATGAACCATCACTGCAATATGCTTTTATATTGAGAATCATTTATATAGTTACATCTCTTCCATCTTGTGAGCATGTCTTTAAGAAAAGTTATAAGTTTTTTGATTGGATCTTTTTTGATTATTGAATAAGTAATCTTATCATTGAACATCTCAGTTACTTTGTTAGTATAACTTTCTCTGTCTGAAAATACTATGATATTGCCTTTGTCAGCATGTATCAGTATAACACTAGGGTGTTCTAATAAAAATGTTTTAGTGTCAGTTTCTAATTAAGTAACTTTTTTTCCATAGTTATCTTGCCAAGAGAGGAAGAGACAATATTATTTAATATGTTTATGGAGTAGTTAGCAATATCTTTCTTGGACTACTATGTTCATACCTACAATCTAATATGTTGTTTTTATTTTTGTTGAGTAAAGTGAAATTCTCGCCTAACTGTAGAAAGCATTGAACATTTTCCGGAATAGAGGATAGATTTACAAATCAATTATTTCTAATAGAGGATAGTGAAGGTAAGATTTTATGTGAGCCAAATTTTGGATCTATTTTGTTTGTATTTGGAAAAAGGGGAGTTTGATTATTTTTTAAGAAAGAAGGTGTATGAATTGTAGAGAGATTATGTAAATAAATAAATTTTACATTGTTAATGACTCCTCTCTCTTATTTTTCAGCCAACTATTTTATTTTGGATTCGAATCGTTTCTTTTCTCTGGTGTAAAAGAAAAAACATGACTTATCTTGAGTGTTGATGAATTCATCGCAAATTTTAATAGATAAATATTGAGATATGCTAACAACAAGATGGAAAATCTGCGATCTATAGTATTGTTTTTTTTCTGTGAGTATCGTTAAGTTCTATTTGCGATATTTTCTTAAGAAACAAATTTTTTTTATGTGAAAATATCTAGGATATATAGTAAAATTTAACATTGAAATTAGTCAATCTAAGTAGATGTTGCGGTATGGTCTTGTAGGTTATATAATGTTTTAAATCGAATATATAAACTACTTTTTATAATTAGTCTACGAAATTTAATCCATAATTTAAGAATTTTAACTACATGAAAACCATAGTTGTGTATAAATTTAAAATATGAAAATTGTATTTGATGCTTCATTACAGCCAATGTGAAAAAACTTAGAAAATAAATAATAAAGGACTCTTGAGATTTAAAACAATGAAAAAATTAAGGGGCGTATAAGAGTCAATGATTCGCAATTAAAATTAGAGTAAATAAAAATAAATATATTATAAAGTAAGATATAAAAATTAGATACAAGTTACATCTTGATTTAGGTTCATGGATTTGTTCAAGCGTCTGTCACACGTCATATATGCACTTTTATAATCCTTTATATGTACCAGTTGATCTATTGCTAGACTTAAATCTGTAGCTACCAACGCCTTATCGTTGTTAGTTTGATATTGTTTTCTATCGGCTGCAGTATCACTTAACTCGATCTTACTGAATGCATAATCAAGTAGTCTTTTATCTTTGAGTTACTTTATTTCGGTTTTCCATGTCCGATAATTTCTATCGAATAGCTTCTCGACTAAATTCTCGTTTCTGTTGTCTATATGACTCATTTTTTTCAATGTTTTTTCTAGAATTTTCTACCTGAGTCTACTTCTTCTATAACCTCTCAACTTCCCAGTATAATGCGCCTTGCCTGTTTATATTTTTTATACTTCTGAACGTACTACCCATAACCATTTGTTAGGGGGGAGCGAATAAATAAAGATGATGATTTACAAGAATTATAAGCACTTTATTGGGCCACAGTTCGATTCGCGCTCACAACGCTTAAAAATTATTTTATCCTTGTTATTTGTCAAATGTCAAACGAAGATAAAATAATATTCATGAGCATTGTCATAAATCAGACCATGGCTTCGTACAATTGCCATCGACATGTCTAATGAATGTGATTGCGCTTGTGAGTACAAAGGAACAAGAAGATATACATAAAAAAGCAAAGAGGGCGCGCCTAGCAACGACAAGACTTATTAGTCGATAAAATGTCAATAAGTAATCGATCGTGATCTACAAGAATGGAAAGTTCGCATTTCACCAGACGCTAATTAATGTCTGGGCAAGCAATTATTCATTATTTTTCTATAACAAATATTTTTTCTCTTTTATAGATTCGAAAATCCTTTTCCAGGATTAAAGTATATTAATATGTTTTTATAAGATGGAGTTTATGCAGAGGATGACCAAAAATTTCGAAATTAATGTATTTTTTACCATTTCTTAGTGTAATATGGCATCTCAAGTCGTGACAACATTTGCTTGATACGAAAGTTTTGCAATCTTTTTTACGAAATGGTAATTCACATACACATAGTTTGCGCGAATAAATAACATCAAGAGAATTAGACTTAAGGAAAGAGACCCAACTGTTCCCCTCCGATCTTATTGTATGTTATTCTCCAAACAAAAATAAGCGATGTATTTTTTATACCCATGCACTTTTAAGAGATGAAACACCTTTTAGAAAAAAATTGGTTTTTCTCTTTCAAAGCGGATATTGTCGAAACTGAAAGAAAAAAATGTTTAAAATAAAATTTGCATTGTTTCAAGAGTACTTTATAAACAACAAAAACAAAATCAAAAGAAAAAAATTTTATATATTTTTTTTATTTGTTTATCTCCACCATTTAACTTTTTTTTTAATTTTGATTTTTTTATAATAAAAAAAGATTATTTTAAGATGAATTCAATCATGTGTGATAAAAATGTTAATCGCTTTATCGCGACGAATTTGTTATATGAAAATTGACACGTACAATTGTGTGTATAGATTGCATGAGATATTGGTGTGATAAAATGTAAAAACATGTCGATGCGCTGGAAAAACAGCGACCTCTGCTGACTTCATCGGAGTTCAGACTTTATTTTAGGATTCCCTTAAATTAGTTTTTGATTTTGCCAGTTCCAGCAAGAAACAACTCATCGAATTAATATCGAATCTCGACATCGTTTCGATTATTTTGCCGTCAATTGCATGTCAGATTGATGTCTCATTTCTCACTAGGATGGTTTTCGCAATCATGTTATTTTTGTCAAGAAACTGAATTTGTCAAAAAACTAAACTTATCAAGAAAATCTATTACACTAAATCTATTACACTATATTTGTTAATAATATTTTAACTTAAAACAAAATACAGCAAATCTGCTTTTTGGACTGCTCAAAGACTGCCAACGAACGCTTTCAATATTCCACAATTGCAAAATGAGGTAATACGTTTTCTTGCTGGGTTGATTATGATGTTATCATTTTTAAAGCACACTGTTGACAGTTGCCGTGTGCTGCAGCTTACATCAAAACGCTAGAAAAAATGACTAAATTTCCAAGATAAATTAAAATTAAAGAATAAAATAGAAGCTTTTAAATTACCACCGTACCACATATCAGAAAATATTCATCTTCAGCAAGTCCATATTTCGAACTAATTGCACTGAGAAAAATGTCTGGTTGAAAATGAAGCTTTTGACATTAATTGGAATTTCAGTTGTCTGAACTGAAATTTTAATAGATTTAACCAGAAAATTCTGATTCGTCTATTTTCAATTAGAATTCCTATTAATCTAACCAGATATTTTTCTCATTGCGAAAATTCACATCATTATTGCAATCTGATATCTCAAGTTCACTCCATACTGTTCATTTCTATTTGTTCATCCTCAAGACTAAAGCTTTTTTGTATTTTGGCTAGACTGTAACCACGAGTATCTTTTACAAGTAGGGCGCAAAGTATTCCAGCTATCCAGCAAAGGCCAGCAAAGAGCCACATAGTCTTTGGGACACCAAGGACACCCACCATCTCTCCGAATGTTATAGCTGCTATTAGAGATAGTGCCCAATTAAAAGCAGCTGCACATGCAACGGCAGTTTCTCTGATTTGCATAGGAAAAACATCGCCTAATAGCGCCCATGAAATCGGTCCGACACCGACATTGAAAGCGGCAAAAAAGAGAGTTGTCCAAGTTGGCGGCATCCAAAAATACAAGTCATCATACTCTGGATCTTGATCCTTTAATTTATAAAACCATCCTGCAAATCAAAATTTGAAATTATTTTACTTTATATTTAGTTTTATTTACATAAATATTTACTGCCAAATATGCATTTATGTTTTCACATACACGCATGCGCGCGCGCACTTAATAAAAACTTTTTGTTGTTATTGAGTTTTTTGGTTATATTATTTTTAGTGACAAAAGAATAATTTTTCCTAATCAAAATTATCTTTTTAATACTCATTTATTTTAAACGTTCGTATTAGGTGTAGTAAAAAGAAATCCATTATTTTTCCAATAGATGGCTTTAGTAATCTGTATCTCGTCTACGCGTGATATAGATTAAAGCCTCTATTGGAAAATCTATTAGAAAAATAATGGATTTCTTTTTACTATACCTAATATTTGAAATACTGTGTTCTTTTTCAGTGCTCACTCTCACAAGAGAACCATCGGAACTGACTTTTACCGATTTTAATGAGTTTTGGATAGATGTAGAGCATGAAAAAATATTAGACCCATATTTTTTTATGCTTATCTCGAAATTTAAAACACTCCTTCAAAAATAATGGAATGTATTATTTTTAAAAAATATCTTTTAAATGATGAGATATATCCAAAAATATTTTATATAAAAATTGTGTAGTTTCTTATGCTCTGTATAACTGCAAAAAAGACATGTTGCAAAAATCAATTTTGCAACAAATTGTTATAAACAAATTATTAAAAATTAAACTATAATAATAATAATAAAGTTCAATAAATTAAACAAGCAGAAAGAAAAGGGCTACGAGCCTAAAACAATTATTATAAAATAAAAGAATTTTTTGAACAGTTGATAAATAAAACATGTCATCAATTTAAAATATAAAATTTGATCGGTAACAAATAAAATAAAACAAAATGTAATGTAAAATTGCCACAGGAATAAGAAATCAAAAATAATAAAAAAATACAGAACGAGTCGCAAGTAATAAAAAGAAAGGTACAAAACGAGTCGTAAGTAACAAAAATAAAAATAAAAAGGCAAAAAATCTAATATTATGAGAAATATACATAAGAATTATTAAAGCGGATAGAAAATATATGATGTACCGTCATACATTATATATGTTTAATTTAATACACAAATAAATTGAAAATAAATACCTTTTATTGTGTATTAAAGTGATATGTTATGTCTTATTAGGCAATGCGATGAGATAGAATGTAATCCTCTCTCTAAGATGCTCAGAGACAATGTGAAATACAAAATATAAAGACAAGAAGTTGGAGTGGTAAACTAAAAAGGAAGGGGAACATAAGAGGGAGAAAATAAAGAGGGAAAAGAAAATGGGAAGAGAAATGAATAGAAAAAGAATGCAGCTAAGAAGGAGAAAGAGATTGAATGATCTGTGAGTAAAGTTTCAGGTAAAGATTTAGTATCATTTTATTTATTAAAACCTTGTTTCTGTCTTCTAATGTGAATCATTTCAGACACCAATCTCTTATTATACGAAGATTCGCAGTCTAAAATTTTTACCTCGTCCCAACTAAAATTGTGGTCAAAATTAATACGATGATCAATTATGACAGTGGGAGAACTAGTGTTCTTCTTAATGTCAGAGATATGTTCGTGTAATCTCGTACTCAATTTTTTTTTTGTCTGACCAACATAACTCGCTTCACAATCGTCACAGGAGATTTTATAAACTACATTCTGGTTAAATAGGAAATCAAACTTATCTTTTTCTCTTTTTATAAAACTTTTTAATGTGTTAGGAATAGAAAAGGATACTTTACAATGGAACATACTGGAAATAGGAAGGAAACTTTCGGAAATAGATTTGACGTAAGGAATCGTAAAATATTTGTCTTTCTCTTGTGAATTACGTGTAATATGTTTATTATGTATATGAAACTTTAATCTTTGTTCAATTGTAGAGAAGATAAAAGAGAGAGAATAACAATTATTTAAAAAGGTATGAATAGTATCTATCAGATTTTTTTATTGGAATCGTGGATGTGAGAGGATAATTTTGTTAATGAAACTAATAATAGTGCCTTTTTTATGGCAGAGGATGATTTGAATGGAAATTAAGAAACCTTCCCAAACACGTCTTTTTATGATAAATATCAAATATAATTCTCTGGTTATCTATAACAAACATCATATCAAGAAAATTCAATCTGTCACTTGTACCAACCTCTAAAGTAAATTGCAATCTCTTATGTAAAGAATTAAAAATATTTAAAGCGTCATTGATAGTATCAGATGGAAATGCAAGAATGACATCATCAACATATCTAAAGTAAAACAATGGTTGTACTGACAATTTTTTAAGTGCTATTTCTTCTAGATCTTGCATTACAATGTCGGCGATTATCGGCGATAATGGTGAACTCATTGGAGTACCGAATACCTGTTTGTAAGTTCTGTTATTAAAAGCAAAAAAAGTTGAATCTAAAATAAATCTAACTGCAATAATGAATTCGTTTTTTGAGATGTTTGTCTTCGCCGAAATGTAAACCCATCTCCTATCGATGCTATTTAATACTAGCTCAACAGGAATATTAGTAAAGAGATATTAAGTGTACAAAAAAGTTCTGAGCTTTTTTTTATAAAATTCAATCTTTATTCAAAAACAAACGAAAAAATATTAATCAGCGAAATATTCTCCGTTTGCATCAACGATCTTTTGCCATATTTCGGGGAGCTTGCGAATTCCTTGACGATAGAAACTCACCGGCTTCGAAGCGATAAAGTCATCAATGCATTTTCGTATCTCTTCTAATCTCACGAAATGTGTATTAGCCAAATGATGCTGCAGCGACCGGAATAGATAGTAATCGGAAGGCGCCATGTCTGGGCTATACGCCGCGTGCGGAAGAAGTTCCCAGCCTAACGCAAAGATATGGTCCTGAGTCGCTTTCGCAACATGAGGTCGAGCATTGTCATGAAGCAAGATCACTTTACGACGTCCTTGGTCAGTAAATGGCCTCTTTTCTTCTAATGCATCGCTCAAATTGGTCAATTGTTGTTGGTAGCGGTCTGCCGTGACTGTTTCACCCGGTTGTAACAACTC